TGTTTCCTTTGAGAAGTCTTCCCAGTTTTACTCTTCCCACCTGATTTCTTCTTATCTCTGTAGACATCATTTACGATATTCTTGGCACTAATTTGTACATTGCTCTGTGTTTTTAAGTCAGTGTGTGGATGCACGTGAATGTAGAAGGTACACCTCCTGGCTGCTTTTCAGTGCTCTGTGGCTTCTTATGTGTATTTTTATATTGTGTGAATACAAGGGCATATGTTCATATAGCTGTGTGTGTATTTATATGTGTTTTATATACAATAATTTACTATGTGCCAAGCACTGGACTAAGTGCTTTACAACTCAGTGGAGTAGTTTCTATTATTAGCTTCCACATCTTCCATATGAGAAAACTAAAGTACGGAGAAATAAGGTAATGTGTCCAATATCGCTCAGACAAGCTAGTGGTATGGCCAGGGTTTCACTGTGGCAGTCTGATCATGCTCTTCACCATGACACCAGCCTCTGAAAGGTGCTGGGACGACCCCCACTCCCGCCCTCAACAATGGCCTCAGGAAGGACCTTGTTTTTAATTCAGACTATTAACCCATTTATTGCTGACACAGGGTAGGCATAATGGGGAGGGGGGATCAAAATTGGGAATGGGGGGAAAGATGAGAACTAAATTGTCTTGTCTCTCTTGTCTGCCCTAAGAGACTGGGTGAGTGACTGTCACATGCAAAATTGGGTCCAGGTGCTAGAGGGAGACAGAGGAGACATATCCTTGATTTGAAGGAGCTGTCCTGGGTTGGAGGGTTTCTCCTCAGGCTGCTGCTGTGGGAGGGCCTGCCCAACTTGATCTTGGCTGCAGGGCCTCTGAGCCATCTCCACAAACCCAGGTGAACTTTAAGAAAGTCAGAGCTCTTCTGTTGCACACCCAAATTAATTGGAGCAAAACAGAGCCCATGTGCTCGACACGTGGAAACTCTCAGAGCCAATGGTTTATAAACTTGCCAAGGGCTGGGGTAGTAAACACATCTCAGGGGACCATGGAGCGCTTCTCTGGCAGCGATGTGCACAAACAAAAGCACGGCCTCCCGGCACTCCCCGTGAGGGGGCCGGTCCTAGAGCTAGGACTCAGGGGCTTGCTCAGGCTAATCCCCATTAACTGCTTCATACCGTGCTGGCACATAGCAAGGTCTTAATAAATGCTAGCAGTCATATTAGTATTGCTTGTCACAAAATAAGCCTATGATACATTTATAAAACTCTGACACAAACCTTGCCGTGTTGAAAGATATTCCATCCTGTTCCAACATCCTTTCAGAGTTTCTCAGCCAACTCTACTTTTCAAAACTAAAATGTATCCAAGGATATGGTTATTGGTTTGATAGAGAGAGGGAGAGAGAGGGAGAGAGAGAGCGAGAGGGAAACATTGATTGGTTGCTTCCCATATGTACCATGGTGACCAGGGAACAAACCCACAACCTAGGTAGGTATGTGCCTGACTGGGAACCGAACTTACAACCTTTTGGTGTATGAGGATGATGCTCCAACCAGCTGAGCCACCTGGCCAGGGCTACGTATTTCTTAAATGCCGAAATGTACGTATATTTATTTTATATAATCTATATCATTTAACTGTCTCTCAGCCCTCTGAGAAAAGAGCTGATATTTTCCTGTTACACAGATGAAGAAATTGAAACTCAGAGAAGTGAAGCAACTCACCTAAGGCCACACAGCCTAAGTAGAAGTATCTTGCTTATCTGACTCCAAAGCTTGTGCTGTTAACCACTACTCTAGAACCTCTAGAATCTCGGTGGCCTCCCTGAGCCCAGATTTAAGCAGAATCTGAATAGCTGCTAGTGTTAGTCTTGCCCTTCTGAGCCTGGCTATGCCATGTCTCTCTTCCTTAATGTCCACTGACCAGAGAGTTTCTCTTACCCAGCCTGTACATCTGCCAGTGAAGAAATATCTAGTGAGTACAGTTGTTACTCGCCTACAGTCACCACAGGGATTGTGAAGTTCAGAACAAATTACTTTTCATGGGACCTGACTCTTAACTCTCAAATACTTGGTTTTGCTCTGTGCTCTCAGCTCTGGGACGTAGAAATGATTATTTTCATTTCACAAGTGCAGGATCTGAGGTCAAAGAGGAATGGTGGCTTGCTATGCTTTCACAGACAGGAATGGGGAGCTGGGTCAGATCCCGGCTCTGCAGACACCAAGCCATGTTTGTGCCTTTGCACCAGGCTGCTTCCTCAGCGCCAGGGCCCTGGGGTTCCTGCTGTTCTGCTCAGGCCTGTGGAAAAAGACTCTGAGGTCACAGATAGGTCCGGGTCCTGTGTTCTTGAGAGCCCACACTTCCATAGTTCTGCTCCCCCTGCCTAAGGGCCCCTTTTCTCCAAGGAGCACAGAATACCTGCCCCCTGAACTCCAGGTGTGGGGCAGACCCTCCTCCCATCATGCAGGTGATGCTAAGGAGAAAGAGGTGAGATGGAGGAGCATTCCTGGGTTTCACGGGAATGAAAATAGCTGTCTGGTCATTGCTGAAGATCTGTATCCCCACTGCACTATTTCTGCCCAGGAGAAAAGCAGATCTAGGGTAGGGGGGTGCCCTGGTGTCAGGGGGACAGAGGTGGAATACGAGCTAGAGTCTGGGACCGTATTGCTCTGTCTCCCGGATCCAGATTTGCCTTAAGCTCCGCTAGGAGAGCTGGGCTGTGTCAAGTTGGAACCGACCAGGGTCTACACCATATTCTTTGGTGTGCCAGAAGGACAGGGGCGGCTTCCTTCCAGAGAAGGGAAGGGACCTGCTCTGCCCTGGCTTTTGGTGAGCCCAGCAGAAAAGTGAGGCAAGGGAAGGAAATGTTTTCAGGACATGCTGCTGCTACTCCTGAGCAGAATATAATAGCCAGTTTTGAGCTGTTTTTTCAATGCGATCAAATGTCTGAGGCTTGGTGACCCAGGCCAGCTTCTTGGGGGACTGCCGGTGAGTCTGGAAGCCAGAGCTCCCTGCTGTGTGGGGTGGGAGAGTCCAAGTTGCAGAAACCACCAGGCACAGGGTTGTTTTTGGACCACGCAGACCCAGAGCAGGCAAAATGATAATTCCGTGCCATGTGTAAGAACATCACTCCAGGGCTCGGCCGGGAGCCAACGCTGCCTTTGGGGAAGGCCTGTCAGCAGGCCCTCCGCCTCCATCCTTCCTCAGATGCCGTCTTCCCTCCAGGCAGGCCAGGGGAGTTTAAGACCTTTTTTGGGGGTCCCAGTGTCTTGTAGGGTGGAGTAGCTCTCCAGAAAAGCCTGAAAGGCCTCCCTCAGCAGCCCTCTCTCACCATATCTGGGGCCCAGAAGGTCTATCCTGCCCTAGGGGAAAGGGCCCTAGGAGCTGCTGGCTAAGGACCCTGGCACTGGAAGGCCAAAGACCCTGGCACTGGAGCCCAGTGTAAGCCACACACAGGGGTCTGTGGGAGGGCTCCCGCCCTATAGCCTGTATCTGACCGAGTATCTCAGCACAGAGTGTACTGGTTGGTGTTCCTTTAACATAAATCTTCATTCCAATTGCAGTAGCTTTAATAGGAAAAACAAGCTACACGTCATCAAGCTTTCACCCTAATCAAATTCCTCTTGTGCCAAAGCTCTCCACGTTTCTAATTTGCTTTATTTGGATTGGGTTGGGGGTTGGGTGGGCCAGTAAGAATTACAGAGGAATAAGGATGATCATTTGCTTTTTATATCAGAGGGGCAATTTAGGCCCGTTCTCATAAAAACTAGGGTAGGCATTTCACCCTAGGGGTAAGGGGATAAGTAGGAAAAGCAAAATTTCCATTTCAATTTAGGTGCTCTGTGTGTCTGTGTTTGCTGAGGGGTGTTGGGGGAGGAGGTAGGATTGTGCCTTCAGGGAAAATACAAAAAAACAAAAAAGTTACAGGGGAAGGTGACAGCTGAGCCTGCGGGCTGGATCCTGGAGTCTCTCTGTCACCTCCCTCTCTCTTAAGACAAAATGCTCTTGATGTAGTCAGTGTTGATGAGCACTTCCACCCCCCAAAAAGGGAAGACTGCCTGGGGTGCTGGATTTCTTGCAGACAGGGGGAGGCTGGTAAAGTTGAGATGACCCCTTCCTCCTCTTCTGCTCTGTGCTCTCCTCCTCCCGCCCTCTCTGCTCTCCTCTCTCTCCTGTTTGGCTCCCCTGTGGGGAGCAGTGGAAAGGCCTTGTTCCCTTGGGCTTGGCCCACCCCCACCCCCATCTCACCTGGTTTATTTGTGTTGGCTTTCACTCCATGTATCTTTGTCTTTTCTCCCCCCACTATCTCTCTGAGGGTCCCATGACCCTGTCCACCTTTGGTCCCTTGTGGAAATCACCCAGTTAGATTAAGAGATTTTCAATTATTTTTCAGGGAAGGTGTTTTGGCTCCCCTGCATTAGGCTGACGTTTGAAGTTGCTGTGAGTCCATTAGGGGGTAGCAAGAGTGTTGGAGGCCCTAATATTTCCTCGGGCAACGAAGTCTTTCTCTAGGGAGCCTCTGGAGATAAACCAGAGAACCAGCCATTAGGACTCGGGCAATCTTAACATGAAATCAGATCTACCGTGACAAGCCTCATGTGATTATTTTGTTACCACTCTGCCAGATAGCTTTTCAGCAAAAAGATCATCCGTTAGAAGCAAACCAGCTCACAGGTCCTTGGTGCTAGTCTCCTCCTGTCTACAGAGAATGAGTGGGTTGCTGGAGGACCGAGGCTTCTGATGAGGCCCCACTAACTTCCCAAGTGGAGCAATCAAGGCTTGCGGGTCCAGGCTGGGGGGCAGGTAATCCAAGGATTAGGCGGCTTTGGCTCTGGAATGCAGAACAAAGTTGCAATCCCACAGACTTCCCTTCCTAATCACACCGAGCTGAGGCTAACATCTCAAACTGGTGAGCCTTCCCTGAAGTTGTAGCGCCGGCAGGGTGGGCTGAGGGTGACAGGCAGGCCCGAGGGGCAGCCGGGAACTGCTGTGGACCCCAGACTCGCAGATGGTTACCCTGGGGAAATGACTGGAGTGCCAGCGCACAGGATGCTTCCAAAAATTTAATAAATAATGATTTTTTAAAAAATCGTATAAACTATAAATTACCATGCAGTCCTTATAACTTAAAATAATTTACAGGTTGAGGTAGGGAGGGGCCCAGAAGAGTGTGGAGGGAGCTGGGGATGGTTGGGGGCTGGGGCGCGGTCAGGCTCGCCTCCCAGTCTTCCTGCTGAGCACACACACACAGGCCGTGTCTATCCGGATAAACCGCCAGGCGGCCTGCTTGTCGTCCATGGTCAGCGCCTTGACGAAAGTGTGTGTGGTGGTGCAATACGAGTTCCAGTGCTTGGCGTCAATGCCCCGGCACCCGCTGTCCACAGGGGTGGGGTCCCGGCACTTGGTCTCAAAAAAGTACTGTTTGAACACACTGTTGTTGATGTTCACCTCTCCCAACACCATCACCTCCTTGCCCTTGATGTCCGTAGCGGTGGTCTTGTCCCCCACCCACACGCTGATGCTGTCGCACACGGAGAACTCCCCTCTGTGGAAGATGGGGTGGGACGTGGATCGCTTGCTCCTGTGAGTCCTGTTGAAGGAGGCCGCACCAACAGCCTCAAAGTCAGGATGCTGGGCGTCTGCAGTGACAGGCGGGGGCTGGGTGCTGAACAGCACACGAGGCGAACGCAGTCGCCGCTTCTTAAAAAGTTTGGGGTCCACTGTGATGTTGCGTGTCTGCCCTGCCACTCTGGCAGCTATCGCCTGGGCTGGGGTGCTGCGGGCTCTGCGGAGGGCAGTGTCCAAGGAGTGTTGGAGGCTCGTCCAGTGGGCTTGGGGGACCGTGTGCCCTGTGGGGACATTGCTCTCTGCCTGTGGGTCTGCCTGGGCGCCGATCAAAAGAGCTGTGATCAGAGTATAGGACAACATGGACATTACGCTCTGCACCTGAAACGGAACAGAAATGAGGTTATTCACCGAGGACGCCTGTACAAAGGCCATGTCTCAGCTGCTCAGAATCAACCTCCCCAAGATTACTTGGGAGTTGGTGGTCAAGGTGACCCTGGAATTCACCCTTTGTGAACTGGGATACTTTTGAAAGTGAAAGGGGGTGCCAGCAATAGTGACATTGGGACAACAGGCATAAACAGAACCGGACAAAACAATCCAGATATACGGCCACCCTGTAAGGGGTGGACTTTTCCAGGAAGAAACAGAGGCCCTGACATTCTGTGCCCTGTGGCCTGGTCTGAGCTCGCGAGCATCAATCACAGGACCCCTGGAGCTCTCTGCCTGCCAGCCTGAGGCAGCCTGGCTCAGGCAGTGCGAGCTCACAGAGCACTGGGCAGCAAGGGGGTGAATTAGGCTCCTCCCCCCAGCATTGAGTCCTGCCTGGACTCCTCTGGAAGGCAGTAGGGAGGGTTGGCTGCGACTTGTCTGGACGCCTTAGCATGACCACATGCTGTTCAGAGCAGCAACACGGTGTCAGTTCGGAGATCTGGTGACTCTGGACCCTTCTGATGGGTCCACGAAGCATCATGTTTGAGCAAAAACTGTGTGGTTCTGAGACCATCTTAGGCAGTCCTTCTATCTGGCCAGCAGCCCTCACATTTAACACGATACTGATAATGTTTCCTCTTTGTGTTGTTGTGAAGCTTTTCAGATGTGTCCACTTCTAATTTCTCATTAGTCTGCAAGTTAGGTTAGAATTCATCCTTTTTCTTTCATCCATGAGGAAAGTGATCCACCGAAGATTAATGCATCTTACAGTCACTAGCAAACACTGGAACAGAAATAGAATCCAAATCTGACCCTTTACTGAGCCAGTCCACCCTTCTAGTCTTCTTTCCTTCCTCCCTCACTTGCTCTTTCATTCTTCAACATGTCTTTTCTTTTTATTGTTTGTATAGACCAAATGGCATAATTATATCTGTCCCCAAAGGCAGTGCAAGCCCCTCTTCAGCACATGCCAGACAGGACACCATGCTGCATATGGTTGCTCATTGCTTACTAATCCCCACACCCGGGTCACGTAAACTGTGGAACTTGCTGGGTTTCTACACTGACTTCTGGTGAGCTTTTGTCCACACCAGGAGGTTCCTATCAAATGTCACCTCCTCTGTTCCTACCCCTGATCTTCTTGATAGGTTAGAGCATCCCTGGTAGAGGGTGCTCAGACTTCTAATTCTATCCCTTCTCCTACGTCCCCTCCTCATGCCCACTGATGATTCTACTCCCTCCCACTTGTCCAGCCCGGCACAGATACTGCCTTTGTCTGAAGGGTGCCATCTGAATCACCCCAATCAAAAGAGATCTCTGTCCATTCTTAACTTCAGAAGACAGTCTCTGTGTGTGTGTGTATTTTCTCTCCTGCTAAATCAAAGTAGTGAAAAAAAAGTCTGCATTGGATCTGGGGTTCCAAAACCTTGTTTGGATTCCTATCTTGGCTACCTGTTAGCAAATGGAAGCCACTAATCTTTCTGAGCCTTTGTTTCCTTATTGATAAAAGTGGATAATAAACACCATTTCACAGCGTTGTTGGTAGGTTAAATAGGCACTCACAAAATCCGAGTTAACTCTGAGTCATTCTCACTTCCTGTGGTCAAAAGCTTGGTCTTCTTCAGTTATATTGCTGCTTGGCCACTCCCCAACCTCACTCCACCAATGTCCTTTCACAGCACCTTGTATTTTTCCTCTATCAGGCTTCTCTCAAAGTATGATGATTGGAGCCTGGCCCCTATTGGCTGTGACCTTGTGGAGGGCAGAGCTGTGTCACAGCAGCTAGTGGCTCCCTCCCTGGGTGTGCACCTCCTTTGTCTTCTGTGCTTAACCCTCTCACCCCTCCAAGCTGCGGATGATCATTTACATGCCTATCTCCCCAGAGCGCTTTAGAAGCCATTTGCCTTTAAATACTTCTGGGGCCACGTGCAGTGCCTGGCATTGTAGTAGATCCTCAACAACTATAAGGAGTATGAATGAAAGAGTGAACAGGGGTGGCCAGGGAAGTTCCCCATCGGCCTTCTTCCCACCGTGGTGCGTGGCTTCTCTTGGATTTTGTACAAATGGCCAAATACAGCATTCCTCGTATTTTCAAGTTATGCATTCTTCTCCTCAGTCCTGTGCTTTTCTGCAGCTGGAAATAGACAGCTCTTTGGTGAGATACCAAGAACAAAACCGCCACATTCTTTTCTCTTTGGTTACTTTGAAAATGTTAGTATTTGCTCCAGTTCTCCAGCTGGCCATGCAGGGGGTGGGGCACATCTGCACTTCTGACCACCCCTGGTTCTGTCCACCAGCAGCCATGCAGCTCACATCCAACCCACTGTTACAGGGCTCACCATTCAGGTGGCAGCGAATCCAAGTCCTTTACCTTTGCTCCTTTTCGTGTCTCATTTCTTCCTTTTTCTCAGTCCACCATATCCTTCATCAGGTAGATGAAGGGAAAAGAAATGAAACTGATAGTCATCCCTTTATATACAAATTAGTAGTAACACTTAGAACTTGGATACTGAAATGAAAAAAAAAATTGACTGAAATTTAGGGTTTTGATGGTACTAAGAGCCACACTGCTCCCTGTTTTCCATTTCCAAGAGCTCCCTCACTCCAGTCTCCCCTTGGGTACACACTCACCCTCTTCTAAGGAGTAGACTGAAACTTCTGTGCAGTCGATGCTTGTTCTGGGTCTGCACTTTTGAAAGCCAGTTGGGGACCTGCAGCTTCCCGATGAGCAATGCTCCACGGATATTGACATTTTAAAAGCAAGACACCAGGAAGAGTCCTCTTTGGGTCTTCACCTCTTCCTCCTCTTTCCTCAACAACAGCAGCCTATTTGGGGACCCTTTTTGATTTACATAGCCATTCCCCAGTCACAGTTTCCTATGAGCACCTCTCCCTATCTTTCAAACACGTTTCTCTGCATTTTCCTTTCTCTGTGACTGGGACCACTATTCCTTCACTCACAGCTCCAGCTGTTGGCTCATCCCTGGACACTGTTCTTTCCTCTGTGCTCTTTGCCATCCCTTTGGGTTCTCATCAGTAGCATCTCTTAAAAGTAATTTCTCACCTCTGTGCTCCTGCTCAGGTCATGGCACAGTATCCCAACTCATGTCCTGGACTCTCACTTCCTTCCAGTGCCTGGTACCCCTGGCTGCCCCATTTAACCACATCAGACTGCTTAGAGGACCCAGTGCTGGGCCGATTGCCCAGCTGAGGCAGGGGGACTGCTCAGCCTGACAGTCCCTGCCTGACTTCTCTCCTGTCACATCCCAAGTAAACCCTCCCAGGAGTGCCTGTGCTGTGCTTCCCCACTGTTGGTCCCCTTCAGAATCTTCTGTACCAGCCACACTCCTCACTGCCCCTCCTGTCTTTTCTGCTACCACCTCTGCTGGTTGGACTCCTTCCTGTTGCCTTTTAACACCCAACTAAAATGCCACCCTCGCTGGGAAGCTTTTCTTCTTTCCAAAGAGACAAAGTTTCTGCCTTCTCCATTTCTAAAAGCATTTCTTTCAGGCTGTTATTATGGTGCTGTTCTTTTTATCTTCCCTCCTAGAGGGCAAACTCCCTGAAGGCAGAAGAGCATCCTGTTCCTCTTTTGTGTCCAGGTGACCTAGTACCCGGATAACAATCAGTGAATGTGTGGACAAATCTTCCTTCTGTGCTCCTTCCAGCTCTGAGCCTCTTTGAATTTAAGCAATTACCTTGGACATACTGCCAGTTTAGCCCCAGACCACCACAATAAAGCAAATGTCTCAATAAAGTGAGGAACACAAACTTTTCGGTTGCTCAGTGCATATCAAAGTCATGTTTACACTACACTGTAGTCCATGAGGTGTGCAATAGCATTATGTCTAAAAAACAATGTACACATCTTAATTAAAAAAATACTTCATATACTATAAAATGCAAACCATCACTGGAGCCTTCAGTGAGTCGTGATATTTGGCTGGTGGAGGGTCTGGCCTCGTTGTGGGTGAAAACCCAGTATCTGCGAAGTGCAACAGAGCAAAGCATAATGAAATGAGGTCTTCCTGTGTGAATTTTCCTACTCTGCTGAGCTGCCTTCACAAAGCTCTGACAGTATAATGCCACTTCTGGGCTCACTGTCAGGACATAGCACGTGATGACTGGTGGCATGTTATCCCAGCAAAGGTTTGCATTGAGGACAGATCATTTCATTAAGGTTTGAAAATGTTGCAATGATGTCTCTCATTTGGGTTTCAGAGGAAAAGGTGCTCTTCAAAAACCATTTTTGACTTATAATAATGTGCCCCTATAATCTTCTTAAATTAAAAAGGCTTTCTTTTAAAAATCATCAGTAGATTTAAAAAAAAGTGTGTTTTCTAGTCTATTGATGTAATGCACAACAGTTTCCCCAAGAAAAGCAAAACAAAACCCCACAACCATTTTTTCTTTGGTTGAAGTGAGCCCTGGGGAGGACTTTCACTTAATTATTTTTAAAAACGACCTTTGAAATGATGACGGCCCCCACCAGGGCTCCACTAAGTGGAGAGCTGTGAGCTGAATGATTAGCTGGGGGAGATGCAATGAGGGGCTCACAGGAAGGAACATGTTCCGTGTAATGTGTGAATGTAATTGTCCTGCTCCTCCCAGAAGGGAAGATCAATGCCTAAGCGTGGGGGGGCCCACTGGTGCATTTATCTAGTTACTAACAGGCTGCCCAATTCTGTTGCCTTCTCCTGGGCCAGCGGTGTATTCTGGAGCTAATTTTCAGTAGCTCGCACACTCCAATAATAAGAGAAATTTCCTACACCAGGTGAATGATCTTCACACAGATTTTGATCTCACCTACAGAGGTGATGAAGCTGCTGGACAGAGGTAAGCAACTGGCCTGAACAGGAGGGCTTGGCAACCCGCCTTTGGAGGTACATACCAAGGGGAGTAAGATCACTCCTGCCTCAACAGAGTGATGCCAAGGGCTCTCAGTGATTGGATCAGAGAACCAGGGTCACTGAGTGTTAGCGAGAGAGGAAATTCTTGTAGCTGAGGAAATCCAGCCTCCTCCTCCATTTCATTTGCCACATTATGACAGTGGGTCAAGTGTCATGTCTTGTTTTACACTTGGCCTCCACTGTAAATGTAAACTGGCTGCTGTCTTCAGTTGTAGATGCAGACACTCTCAGTTGTCAGGGCCTGCGTAGCGTGTGAGAGGCATTCTGTGTCTCCTCAGCTCCCCAGGGAGGTAGCCTGAGGCTGCAGCGGACAAAGGCATTGACAGAAGAGAAGCCAGTGCCTCTGCTAGCATCTCCCAGAGGGCAGGATGGACTGGAGGGGACATCAGAGCTTCTCAAGTCCAGAGGCGCAGTGCATGGAAAACACCAGGAGAATTTGTTAAATCACAGACTGCTGGGCCCACCCCCGGTTTCTGATTCATTAGACATGGGGCAGAGCCCAAGAATCTGCCATTCTCACATGTTCCAGGTGATGCTGATGCTGCTGGTCTGCCAACCACATTTTGAGACCACTAATCTAACATAATCACTGGACTTTACAGAGCAGAGAAATGGGCCTTTGAGAGGCTAAGTGATCTGGCATAATGCACCTACTGAGAGGCAGCCTCCACATGCGGGCACTTGACGTTGCTTAGCACCTTCCAGGGGACAGAGGCTTGAAGCCCACACACATAGTAACTGATGGGTCCTGGGCTGTGTTTACTCAGCCCCCAACATCAAAGTGAAAATTCCTTTTAGCAGACTATAAGTCTCACTACCCTTAGGCCACAAGTCCAGATACCAGGGAATACTTGGATATTTAATTATTTAAAAATCTAGTTTATCAGGTTCCTGGGCCTCAGGTAAACTTGATTCAAAAGCACTAAAGTGTCCATGATGGAAATATGCAGCCAGAAAGCACTAGCAGGTGCAAGCATCTGCGGATGTATTGGTCTACTGTAGGACAGAATGGAAACTGAATCTACTGATGCTCATTCTTAGAGACCCATCTTAAGGGGAAATGATCACCTATTGGGCATAATTGTCTCATTAACCATCACAACAAGCCTGGGAGGTAGGCCTTATTATTCCCACTTTATAGAGGAGGAAATAAACAGAGTAAGAGTAACTTGACCATGGGCACAAAACTGGAGGGAATGGAACTTAGAGTTGAGCCTCTGTCTGCAGATCTGGAGTTCTCCCCATGCTCTATTCCATGGCCAAGGGCATGGGAGTGATCAAGGCCCTTACATCTCACAAGGCTGCCTGCTCAGACAGACCAGCAGCTGTGTGGAGGGTCTGACCAGTACTCTGGGTCTGTTTGAGGCTCTGTGTTCTGTTACTTTAGACATGGGCGGCTCAGACTTCCAGCATGTCCCTGGAAGCCATAGGGCCAGCCTGAGAGCACATCTCTCAGATGGGCTGGGAGTCACAATGTGCAGACACTGTGATCAGCAGTTGAACTATCATCAGTTGAATCCAATGCCCCTTCCTTAGGCTGGGGGTCATGTTCAGCTGTCCTGGCAGCTCCAGAGTTAGGACCCTTGGTAAGAGAGATACCCCAGGTATTCACCTCAGTGTGGCCAGGACTGAAAGCTGCTTCCTTGGAAAAGCCGTTATTGGGCCCGGACGCTGAGCTGAGCTTGGGTCCAGCATGCCATCCAGCCACCTGGACTGCACGACCACGGGCCAGGACTCTGTGAGAGGAAAGAGCTGGCATTAGATGGACCCTTGGCCACATTCTCGAGAAAACGGAGAGCTGTGCCCCAGGCAGGCAAGGAAGGATGTGCCAACAGGACAAACCCCCTTTCCATGAGTTCTGGGATTTTACAAGCAGCAGGGCTCAGGAAGGAGTTCGAGCCTAGCTACCCAAACTGCCAGGGGCCTGACCTTGCACAGGCCTAGAGCAGCATCTGCCTTTCACTTTTATGCCAACACTCTTGGTTTCTGCCTGGACACAGTCTGCGGCCAAGCTTACACCCAGTGTAGGTGGGCCTCACAGCTCAGCCTCACGGCAGAGTCCTGCTCCAGCAGAACTCTAATCTGGCATCAGAATGGGTAGTATTCTGTACGTTACACTCACAGAGATGTAGTACACCCACCTCTGGACCGGCCTCAGATACCTTACACAGAAGGAAAATCCCTGACAATGCAGAATAAATTTGCGCTATGATGGAATACTAGACCATGTGACAGATAAGAGAGAGCTCTTACAGGACTCGGACAGGAATCTGAAGAACCATGCCAAAATTCGGGACTCAGAAGCTATGGAGATCATACAATGAGAAAAAAATGCTACTCAGTTTTAGGTTGTAGTTCCTAGAAGCAACGGAACATTCCTATTTACTCACTTGTATAAACCTTATATATGTTGGCACTTCATTCATTTATTTAACAATATTTCCTGAGCACCTACTATGTGCTAAGCACTATTTTTGGGGTGCTAGGGATATAGCAGTAGATAAGACAGACAAGGTCTCCACTCTCATGGAGCTTACAGTCCTGTATAAATGAGCAAGATAATCTTCAGATTCTTCATATATCATGAAGGAAATAAGTGGGGTATGATTACAGAGGGCAAGTACAGAGTGTTCCGAGGGGCTGCTGTAGACAGGGTACTCACTCGAGGGTTCTCTGAAGAAATGGACTTCAAGTTCAGATGTGAAGGATGAGGAGAAATGAGGGAGAGGGCATTTTAGGCAAAAGGAACAGGAAGGGCAAAGGCCCTGAGGTAGAAACAAGTCAAAGTTGCTGAGCATGTAGGCAACAGTCCTGGAAAATGAATTAGACAGGCAGAAAGATCCAAGTCTGGTAATTGTGGTTTTATCCTAAGGGAAATGGAAAGGAAGTGAAAGGATTTAAGTGGAAGAGTTACATGACATTTAAAAAAAATGAATGAATGAGTAAACTATTGTGTTATGGCAGAACTTGTAAAATAGGGTAGGTCCCCCAAAAAGAAAAAAAATCTAGAATGGCATTGTTATCCTTCCTGTCCATATACTCTTTCCAACCCCCTCAAGCCCCTTTCCCCATCATATCTTTTCCCAGTGTGGACTCCTACTAGCTACCTTCCTTTGACCCCCTCTCATTTTGTGCTACAAAAGTAAACGTCAGTAAAGATACTGTGGCTCCAAGTCCCTCACATGGAGGAGCCAGAGGACAGGGAGATGCAAGGGCCACCTAAGTTGTTCTCCTGCTGCTTGAAATCATGGTAAAGAACTGGCTTGTTTCCATTCCTCTTTCTTACCCACTTGGCTTAAAATATCCTTTTTTGCTTCAGAAGTACCAAGGAAAACCTTCCTACTCCATTGGGGTTCTGACCTAGAGATGAACACTTACTCAGACACTCAAAAACTGTTGGATTCTGTGGCAAAGAACATTTTCACTCTCTCTGGGTTGGATGTAGCACTGGAGAGGGAGGGTGTCACATACTCCAGAGTGAGACGTGGGCCTCATGGGGCTGGGTTCATCACGTGTGGGCAGGAGGAGCAGAGCTAGTCCACAAACTCTCCGTCTGGGTGTTCTGCCAAGCCTGGCTAAGCTCTGGACTGGAACCCAAAGCACTGCATTCTAGTCCAGTTTGCTCTCCTTCTTGGGTAGGTCACTCTGTATCTTTAAGCATCTCTGAGCTTCCTCCTTCATAGGATGAGGAACTGCCACAGGTGATAGCTAAGGTCCCCTCCAACTCTGATCATCTGTGACTCTTCGAGTGTTAATGTTTTCCAGCCCACATTCCTACTGGGCACTGAAGAATGCTTCCCATGCAAACATGGAATTCATTTATATCATTAATTAAGCACTAAACTGTGCCAACTACTATGGTAGGTACTAAGGATATGAAGAATAAGACATAGCACTTAACCTCCAAGAACAAACAATCTGGAGGCAAGGAAAGGCAAGCACAGGAACAAGCACTTGCAGCAGAATGTGATAAGTATGGTGTGTAGCGGACACAGTATGGAAGGAGGGCTTAGTATTGTCTGGCCAGACTAGCCAGAGACATATGTTCAAAAAGGAAGCAACATCTGAGCAGGGTTCTTAAGGACGAATAGGAGTTTATCAGGGAAGAAGGGGAGGAAAGGCATCAGAGAGCCCCAGAATTCAAGATCTGCCAAGAAGTCCAACATGACTTAGAAAGAGGTTTGGGGGAGGTAAGAGGAGTATGTGATGGGCCTTATACAGCAGCAGGTGCTTGTGAGCTTGTACAGCTCACTGTTGGGACCCACCCACTGACTATAACTTCCTCTGGGACACAAAAAAGCCTCCACTTTTACTCTAGGGAACAACCAGGGAAGTAAGAGTGCTTCTCCCTAGATATATTCTGGACATTCAGCTATAAGCCAGGATGGCCTCCAATCTAGATGATTAGAAGAAAAGAGAAGTTTCATCTCAATAAAAAACCACTACAGCCTCTAGGCAGACCTGACTTCTTGGTGACCAGCTATAGACCCACCACAAAAGGTTTCCTGTCCCTATGTCTGCATCTGGGCCACAGTGCTTTGGTGCCTGCCAGGGTCCCCTGCCAATCACACTGAGATGCCCGATTGCTATATTCAAGACCCTGTCTGGCATCTCCCATGACCACGGCCTTCTCTTGTTCAGGGTAGGCAGAGGTGGTTTGCTACTAGAGAGAGCAATTCACTGTCCAGAATACTGACACATTAAGTAATTTTCACAGATTACTTAATTATTACTGTCATCATTTTCAGTCTCATGCTAGTAAAGGTATGTAGCTCTAAAATTAAATCTGATTTAAATATTACCAGTTTCTAATGCAACAATATTAGGAACAAACAACCCAAATGCATATCTATTTTTAAAACCCTGTCTGTTCTCATGAGGTAATCACTTAATCAGAGGCTCTCACACTTGTATACATGCATGAAAATAAATCCCAGCTCATCTTGGGATCATGTTCTACTCCTTCTAAGGGCACAAAGGAATATTATTGACATCTGGAGTGCCTCTTCTAAACCCAGACAATCCTGCCCTGTTCTGGGTTTCATGCTTCAAAGCAGTGATTCTCCGACTGTGGTACACAGGGGTATTAGCAGTATCTTGGAACTTGTTAGAAATGAAAACTCCTTAGGCTCTCCCAATAGACCCAACAATCTGTGTTTTAATCCCTGCAGATGATTCTGATGCACACCTAAGCTTGGAACCACTGCTTTAGAGGCTCCCACTCTGGCCTTCCTCCAAGTGCAACCTCCCCACAGGGTGAGGGATCCAGGGCTGAGAAGGGTGCCAGCCCAGCATCAGTCTGCTGCAGTGGGCTGCCTGCCAGCCCATAGTCTTCTACATTACAGTCAACATCATGTGTTCACCATGCTCTCAGAACCCACGACCCCAGAACCTTTGACCAAACAGTCTTGAGTCAGCTGAAGCTGGGGATTCTTTTGAAGACCACCCCCCAACCCACCCCAGGTTAAGCCTGTTGGTACAGCCTTCATCACTGGTATGATGTTTGCCTTAGGACCCCCTTCACTTTCTTAAGGGCCCTGTGATACTTTGGTCAATTTTGGCCAAGAAGCTTAGATTAATGGCAAATTATTCAAAATTTAATCAATATAGAGTTTAAGGCAACTGAACCTCTGCTGGTAGTTATTCAGGAGACAAGGGCATTAGTGGCAGCTGTGGCAGCCTTCTAACTTCAATGAGCATCCTCCAGAGTCCTCCAGGCTTCGTGGAAGATTCTACCTACATCCTTGCTCCCACTTTCTGCTGCCTGCCTCCACCCCCAAATCCTCTGTAGTGGTGGCCCTCAGCTGAGGCCATGCACTGGAATCACCTGGGGAGCTTTATGATCACCTTACACCTGTCCCACCTACAGAGATATGAATTAACTTGTCTGGAGGGCTGCCTCTCAGTATTTTGTAAGGATCCCAAGGACAAACCAGGGCTGAGAATCACTGCTGTACAGGATGAACAGGATGTTTGACATTGGCTTTGATGAGCTAGTAATTAAGAGAAATTATTGGGAAATTAACATAGCTCAGCAAATGTAAAGTGCAGGCATGGTAGCATTGTAGGCAATGAGATGCAAGAATATAGCTTGCAGGCTCTCTGAGGGACGCTGTCCCTATCTCCCCTGCCCACTTTATCCTCCAACTGTCTAGATGTAATTGATATTTGTGAATTGGAAGGTTTTCTTTGTACTCCTTGCATGTCACTTAAAATGATGTTTGATATTGGAGCTATGGTTAGCTTATTTTAAAGCTTGACAGTTATTGGCTGACATTTTTAATACCAAAGATTTGGGGGTGATTAACCAAAAAGATCTCTTGGATGACCCTTCCCATGTTCTCGGAAGCACAGGCCAGTCCCAAGAGCAGCTTACACTACCAGTCCCCAACCTTTTTGGCATCAGGGACCAGTTTTGTGGAAGATGATTTTTTCATGGACTAGGGTACAGGGGATGGTTTCAGGATGATTCAAGGCTTTGCATTCAAGCTCACCTCCTGCTGTGTGGCCCAGTTCCTAACTGGTCTGCGGCTGGAAGTTGGGGACCCCTGGCTTACAGCACATCAAAAATGCTAGAACAGCTGGCATGGAGAGTGCACTCTCCTTTCTCCTCACTTCTACCTGTTAGAGGCCTGGGAGTTGGGAAAACTTACTAAAAATGTTGAGCTTAAGACACTGTTGTTCGGGGCATAATAATAATTGTTGGTGCTAATCCTGTAATTTTCATTGCCGTAACTGTTCCCTTCCATTCTCTCCTCTCTGTTAGATCTTACTCTGAGCCTTATGGAAAGAGAACATTTAGAGTCTCGTGTTGCAAGTCTGTTTTCCTAATTTTCAGTCTAATCAGAAGTTTTCTATTATAGATTACGAATGTGAGGTTTGCTGAGTAGGAACTCTTTTTTTGGGAAAAAAATTCAATTTTGGCCATTTCTAGATGATTTGATGTGTTTTAACTATTTAGTGGTTTTGGCACATCCAATAGGAAAATAGTGTATCTGGCACCAAGGACTTAGGAAGACATTCAGGTTCAGTAAAACCACTATTCTTTCTCACTGGGAGTTTCAGTACTGACAATTCTAAAGGGCCTTGCCACATTTCCCTAAGAAGATATGTTCCTATGGCTCCCTTGGAGATTCGGGATAAATTACAAAATCCTCCCTAGTATCTCCCCAGAGAGTCAGGCAGCTCAATGAAGAAGCCATCATGGCTGGTTGACCTTGAGCCCCAGAATCAAAGAGCATTTGCTAGGACGGTGCATGACATTCTGCTCTGTGTGGTGGGCCCCAGCCTGCGTGGTGCTTACCTGACTGGATTCATGAGCTATGCAATGCCAACACCACAGAGAGGTTGTCAGAGTGTGGGTAGTTACACCATCAGCGTGGTTGGAGATAAGATATCAAACATACAGTGACCTTCCATTATGGAGCTGAGAGCAGGAGATTTCTGCAAGAACGTACTGCTAAATAACAGTCGTAGTACAGCCCATCAACTTAGTAAATTTTAGTAATATGTCTAAAACCTACATTTGAGTGTCAAAAACAATCCAATAGTTTTTCAAACTTTTCTACAACCCTAAGAAAACATCTCCTTGGTTCCAACTGGCTGATCCTTAAACCACAAGGAAAAGATCCATTTCAGCTCTGCTTTTGGCTTCTCCCTGCCTGTGTTCCCATATTTGGGACCAAGAGCAGACAGAAGGATTGGGGGAAAAAGTGGACTCTCGGGTTGGCTGGAATCAGGTTTATATCCAACAATACTAGCACCTATTGAGGTTTCCACCTGGGAGGGAATATGTACATAAATGAAAACAAAACGTTGCCAGTGAACGCAAACTCAGATCCAAGCTCTTTATTCG